GTCTGTGTGTTTTGTCAATACCAAGAAAAATCAGAAAAAATTCCGCCGAATTTTGACATTTTGTTTTGTGGAAGTTTCCTCCTACTAATCCTCTGACTCATAATTTGTTTCCCCCCAAAACAAAAATATTAATAATTCCCTTTACTTACATGACCTGATTTCCGGCATCACGGTAGGCCAACCAATACAGGCCCAAATGATCTTCATTCATGGTGCCATCGTAGAGTATTTCCAAACGATATTTCTTGCCAACTTCAAAGATTTGATAATATTCCTGGCCATGGATGATGAGGAAATGACGACGTGTGTCCAGCGTATAGGTAAGGTCACGCAGCATATCATCACTATCCAAATCGGTGGCAGTTATAACAAAATTGCTGAGATTTTTTGCATGCAGAACTATTTCATCGGTGGTCTCGCGTATCTCAATGTCAATGGTGGCATTACCGGTGAAATACAGACCACCCACATGGATGTTGGTAACAATGTGGAGGTTATATTCCAAAGGAAATGTCGAATTAGGCAGGCGTAATGAGCGATCTCTTGTGCTTGCTGGTGGTACTGATGATGGTAATGAAAATGTTGTCACCTCCTCGCCCTCCTCCTCCGCCGCCGTTCTTTGTGTTACCAATGAATTATCATCAACGCCAGCCTCTTGACCCTTAACCCCGTATACTATTGTTGTGTGTAAAATTAGGCAAATATACAATAGAAGAAATTTCCATTTTTTATTTAGAAGAAATATTTTATTTGACCGTGTCATTATCAACTCTAAGAAAATATGATCACGTCCCCGTTTGACGACACGTCGATCGTTCCACAACCGTTCAATACGAAATATAAAAATCAACTAAACATTCGGAATTCGAGGGAAAACAAATCGAAGCGACAAGGCTCTCATTGAACGTCGATGGTGATAAGTGATCCGAAAATACAATGACAACAATGTGACAGCGCCAGCACCACCACCACACCGCATTTTGATAAGATAATCGAATGCGTATACTATTGGAGAGAGAGTGTGTATAACAGTTAGTATAAGAGTTGCGTATATGAAGAAGGAGTATGGTGCAATCTTCCATAGCAAGAATGTATATATGTGTGTGTGTCTGTACTTGAGTAAAAGGAGAACGCTTTCACCATCAAATTGAGAGCAAACTTAATTGCAATAACCCAGAAAATATAATGAGGATCAGGGATGGGAGTTATTATTTTCTTGACGACTCTTTAACTTCGCCGACAAGGTCTTGAATTGAAGTCTAATACGTATAGAAGACCAATCTGCAATGTATAGAAATATATATTTTATCTGCTACTTCTTTATTGATAGAAGATATGTCTGCTTTTTACAGAATACAATCCATCTATAGTTAAAGGACAAATCTTCTGTAGATAAAGGACAACCATTAAGGATAGATGACAGGATAGATTAAGATTAGATGACAAGTTCTCGAAGAATTGAGGACAAATCATCTAAGAATAGAGGATAAGTCCTTTAAGGATAGATGACTAATTCTCTAAGAATAGAATCCTATAGGGATTGATAACACATCCTCTAAAGGAACATCCTCTACGTATTGAAGACAAATCCTCTATGGGTAGAGGACAACAAAACTTCTAAGGATGAGGACCAAGTCCTCCTAGGATAGAGGAAAAATTATCATCAGATGGAAGACATATCGCCTAAGGATAAATGACAAATACACTAATGATTGAAGACAAGGGTTAAAAAGTTCTCTATTGAACCTCTATGGGTAGAGGACAACTGCGCCAATGATAGATGACAGACACGTCAATATGTTGTGAATAGTGGGAAACCTTGTACTTTCTACTAGGAAAATGCATATCAAATATGATATCAGGTACAGTCAGCGAGTTCTGGGGAAGGGTCACTGAGGCAATGATCCATAGGATTGACTTGGCGAGTGTTTGCACTCCTAAATTAATCATTAATAAAAAGTTTGTAGTTTCCTACCCTGAAGATAGACGTCCTAACCCTAGGGTGCTTATCAGAATGTTCCAACTGCATTTTCGAAACGAAGTAAAAGATTTCCCCTCTCAACTATCTCAAAACCAAACTGGTTTTATATTTTCCTAATAATGTTGTGCCACAGTAGGATAAATAGGGGAGCGTGTTCAAAATTGTATCATATTACATATTAATTCAGACATTTAATGTCAGGGGGCGCCGCCGCCACCCCCTGCCAGTAGCCTAGATACGAACCATGTTTGGTGAATTTCAGATGCAACCCTATGATCGTTATTGCGGACAGAATCATTGCTGGCGAGTTGCAGATGCAACCCTGTGATATATCTTTAGACCAAAACCTAATAATCACTCCAATTTACTGCGTGCGCTTCAAACCCGTATTCCCTGGGTATTCATTTAGCACCTGCATCAGTGGGAGTTCTATTCAGATCTGCTCGATGAGTATATTGACCTTGAGGTCTCCATTTATTTCTTTTTATCTTTAGATCATGCAAGTCATTTCTGACACGCCTGGTTGGGAGAGTTCTATCCACCATATGAGTACTGCAACGAAAGTATATCACTGATCTAAGGAAAAGGTGGTCCACAAGTATTCGTTACTACCACCACATAGCTGGCCATAGACCGACCTATCACTTCATAAGAAGGCTGTCGTCAAGCGGCTTGATGACATTGTTCCTACTTTTCAGCTATAATTAACTCCATAAACACGATTTGTGCCGATCTTGCAACAAATGAGCGATATGTCCTCAACGATAGGACTTGACACTATGATCGTACCATTATTTGCGTACGTAACGATCTCAATACCGTCTGGGGGCGTGGAATACTGAATAGAGGTTAAACAAGCCAGGTGAAATCAGAATTCCCCAGGGTGGGGAATTCTCTGCATCGCTCTACGTGATATTAACGTTTATCATAGATCATAGATTATCCAACATTTCAAACATGGTCGGAGAGAAGTATTCTCGATGTCCTCAAACAGAGTGGTCAGTGATGCTTTTGATAGATCGAATCTGGTTTAGTCCTCGACTTATAGTGAGATCGGCCTGTAAGATTCACTTTTTCCTGCATCCTTGCTTTACTACGGCAGAGGGGCCAACCTGCCAAGGCATAGGAAACTATGTGAGTGGCTGTGGAACTGTCTCATCCAGCTGTTTTAGCATTACCATAGATATAATGTCAGTTAACCAACGCTTTAGATGACTTACAGCTACGAATGACACTTGCAACATAACTCATTGTAAACTGTGGTGGTACCTCCTTGGCGGAAAGAGATGAGTTAGTTTCATCGTTAAATGTGTCTCAGGTCCTATCATCCTTATCAGCGTTTCATAGCGTCTTAACCATTGCCCTCAGTTTCCTTCGCTATTAATGTTCCGCGACTAATCTGCTGACCCCCTACATGAGATTCCTAGCCTTGGGTTCGACAGAGCTCACCACGCTCCACTTATATAATTGAGTATCCAACGTTTCAAACTTGGTCGGAGGGAAATATTCTCGATGACCTCAAATCCGGTTTAGTCCTCGACTTATATGTTTGTAGATGGCGTACAAGTCTGCTATTGTGGTGTGTTGTTTACGGAACCTATGCTGATTATACGCAACTGGATAGCTTTTTCCAATACGGGAGAGGAGTAATACTTCAAGAGCTACTGGTGACACAAGTGAGATCGGCATGTACGATTTACCGTTGCTGGCATCCTTGTTTGGCTTCAGCAGCGAAACCACCCTGCTCATTGTCCAGGCTTCGGAACCTATGCGAATGGTTGTCGAGCTGTCTCATCCAGCTGTTTCTGCATTACCATAGATATGCTGTCAGTTAAGACGACAGGTCATTTTATAGAAACCAAATGGTCCTCGCATAGAAGGTCAGAATTTATTCGTATAGAAAACCAAAGAAGAATGCCTTCTTAAGAGATCAAGAGTTCTTCTTCTAGAAGCTTTTCTTGGAAGATCAAAAGATATTTTTTTCCAGACGGGCTATGTATAGGAGATCTTCTTACCGTCTTATTGAAACCCTCCTGGATATTAAAATACAATTTTCTAATCTTGGGCGCCATATATGAATCTGCGATTGCCTTAACAACGCCCAGGTAAAAGAATTTATTAGAACATCTTGAAAAATTGAAGAATCGTCATATATAAAATCGTCATACGAAAATAATTTCCTTCGAATACTTGAACTTGTCACATTAAGTTTTCTTCGTTTTGATATACCCTCTGTCATTTTTCTCACATACTATTAGATTAGTTTTGAAGTACCTGGGCCATTTTTTGTTTGTTTTTGGTATCTCTATCAATTGCGGTTATGGTTACGACTACGATTTCGTACGTTTTTGTTTTTCTTGTATTTTATATGTCATCATTGGATATCGATACGACATTGGAAAGTCAGTTGGAATGTTCAATTTTGATTGCTAATCTAAATTTGTTGTTGTTTTTGTTTTCAATACTAATAATAATTGATTAAGTTAACACATTATCGGAGACTATCGTAACACGCAAATCTTATTGCCCTGATAATGGCCAGCCATGTCAATACTAAGAATTATTCGGTATCTTTAGAATATGGCGAGGTCTTAAAAGGCTATACATTTCCGAGGCGGCGATCATAGTCGTGTTGCGAGTTGGCCAACAAACAACATGAATTGTCGTTTGGGTGCCTCAGTAGCTTTAATCGTTACGATCCTTGCCCTGGCAGGATCAGTACACTCCGCCAGTCGTCGTACTTTTTTGCCCATTGAAGAATCGGTACTTTCGGGAACACCACGCGAGGATTTAAATTATCGCCTACCGAATGACACCTTACCCTCACATTATGATATCGTTCTGACCACTCGTGTCGATGAGGGTATTCGTGATTTTAACGGTGTTGTAACCATCGATATTACCGTTCTGGCCGAAACCAATAAGATCGTTTTAAATGCTCGCCAATTGGAATTCAATTGGGCAACAGTACAACAAAGCGGTAGTAGCGAAGATGAGGTGCTAAATATTGCCTACGAAGAAAGTCGCGAATTTTTGACATTGTCCCGAAAAGTTGAAACACCCTTCGCCAAGGATACTAAATTGAAATTAACGGTTGATTATTATGGCAAGTTGCGTAGTGATAATGCCGGATTCTATATGACCACCTATAAAGATGTCGATGGTAAACAGAGGTAAGTTGTGCGGTCATAAAAATAGAATCGAGTGGAATGAAATGGAGAAATAAATCAATTCTAGTGATAGTGTGGATTATTTATAGAATTATTATTCGATAAGTGTCTGTGTGAAGTGTTAAAACCATAGATCTAACGATAAAAGTCTGTTAAATGGTATAATTAAAATTAGCTGATAGTGTTAGAAAAAATTAGTTGTAATCTATACAAATATTAGGTTTAGCCCTACCATTCCGCTGTAGATCTTTTATTCAACAGTCATATTGGGGGGAAAATAAATACAAAATCAAGTGCCTATTGATAACTTGAAAAAAATTACACTATGTGACAAAACGTAGTTTTGAGATGACATTGTCCCCAGTTACTTCTTCTATTGGGAGCATAGAGCTTCCACAAACCATCGCCATTGTCAATATTTGTTTGCATCTTCCCATGTAGGAGCGAGTTAGAAATCGAATTGCATTGTAATTATCGCTAGATGTCTTATATAGTAGTATGAGAAAATAATCTTTAAACACAATAAACCTTTGGAGGTTATTGTTCAAGAGATCGACACTCCTCTAGAAGTAGGGAAATATAGGAGGTCGTTAAAAACTGATTGGAATTGCGTCCATGCTCAGACAATTACCGATAGATGGTTCTATTTGTGTTTATATCGTAGACACGAATCATCAGTGGTGAATTGCCTGGCCTACGAAATAAATCGGTTTATAACGCTCTCCCATATTTACCCTACTTACACAAAGTCACTACTGTGATAGTCTGTGAGTATATAATCGTACTATCGGTAGACGGCACTGTTTTACAAGCGTAAAAACAAACTATTAGCGGTGAATTGTCTGGACTACAATATAATTTAATACGACTATAAACGTTCTCCCATATTTCCTCTACTTATAAACTATATAATTTATGGGATTTGGGTTCTACGGTTGTAATAACCTTTCTTTTAAAAAATCCACACTTCTGTAGAAATAGGGGAAATACGGGAGAGTGTTGAAAATCGAAACATATTAATTTGTAGTTCAGACAATTGTCCTTGCTAATGTTTGTAGCATAGACACCAACCATTTGAGGTGAATTATCTGAGCTACTGTGAATTGCCTGGCCTACGCAGTAATTCGATTTATAACACTCTCTCGTATTTACCCTACATATCCTTTGTGTATCTTCTTTTTACTTCACACCATTGACAAACCTTCTGCAGCAGTAGGGTTAAGACTGGAGAAAGTTCAGAATCGTATTATCGCTCGATGGCACTGTTTTTACAAGCGTAAACACAAACTATCAACGGTGAATTGTCTGGACTACAATATAATTTAATACGATAAATAAACGCTTTCCCATTTTTCCTCTACTTTAAGGCTATTGAGAAAATAATTGGTTGATGATTAGACTGGATATAATTTATGGGATTTGGGTTCCACAGTTGTAATAATCTTCAAAAGATTTATTTTCAAAAATCCACACTTCTGTAGAAATAGGGAAATTGAAATCGAATTATATTATTTCGTAGTTCAGATAATTGACCTTGCTAATGTTTGCAGCATAGACACCAACCATTTGTGGTGAATTATCTGAGCTACTGTGAATTGCCTGGCCTACATAGTAATTCGATTTATAACGCTCTCTCGTATTTACTCTACATAGCCTTTGAGTATCTTTTTTTACTTCACACCATTGACAAACCTTCCCCAGCAGTAGGGTTAAGTCTAGAGAACGTTCAGAATCGTATTATCGCTAGACGGCACTGTTTTTACAAGCGTACTATCAACGGTGAATTGTCTAGACTACAATATAATTTAATACGATAAATAAACACTCTCCCATATTTCCTCTACTATAAGGCTATTGAGGAAATAATTGGTTGAAGATTAGTATAAATATAATTTATGGGATTTGGGTTCCACGGTTGTAATAATCTTTAAAAGATTACTTTTGAAAAATCCACACTTCTGTAAAAATAGGGGAAATACGGGAGAGCGTTGAAAATCGAATCATATTATTTCGTAGTTCAGACAATTGTCCTTGCTAATGTTTGTAGCATAGACACCAACCATTTGCGGTGGGTTGCCTGGCCTACGCAGTAATTCGATTTATAACGCTATCTCTCAGAGCTACTATGTACTTTAATCCGATTCTGAACGATCTCACCTATTTCAACTATTCGTAAGATATTGAGAAAATTTAAATAAAAAGATCATCGCTTGCGATAGCCTCAGGAAAGAAATTTCTTTCAACAGAAATCTCTATCTCAATCTCTCCAGTTCTCTCTCCAATTTTACTGCATTTTTTGGTTATCTAGTGAGACACATATCATTCATCATAATCTAAGACTTCGAGTTGCCGTGAGACACTTCACGTTATGCCTCTTCTCTCTGAGAGCAAATTTCATTCATTATTTCACCCAGTACAATTGTGAAGAGTAGAGGGTGACAGAGGTCATCTTTGGGGTTAATGTTCCAGCTGTGTTCTAACATTGCGATACAATCTCTCTAAATTCTTCGACAGATATCATTCCGAATAATCTAAGACTTCGAGTTGTCGTGAGAGATTCATTCATTATTTCATTCAGTATAATTGGTGAGAGTAAGGGTGAAAGAGGGCAGTTCTGCTTTACTCCGGCGCAGGTGTGAAACTTTTGTTTTATGTTCCCCTTGTGAAAAACTACGAAGGGTTCTGCATCCTCCTACACCTCTTTTATAGTGGAACATAGAGATCGTAATATGTGCGATAGAGATTTGAAATTCTGCACATACATTATTATTACACTTAGGATGTTCGGTATAGAAAAAAGGGGTTTATCGGTTACCTCATGGTGGAGGCTATACAAAATTCGGCCCAGCCAAACTAAACTAATTTTTTACTTTTATCTTTTTTTATTCGAACTTATTGTAAGATGTCAAACATTCCCTTTTTTAACAGACCTCTGGCTGCTACACAATTCGAGAGTACCAATGCTCGTCATGCCTTCCCCTGTTACGATGATCCCGGCAAGAGGGCCACCTTCAGAGTCACCATCAATCACAGTCCTAAATATACCGCAATTTCCAATATGCCTGTTGATGAGACAGCTACCACGTAAGTTCCAAACTCTATTAAGATTTCAAAGAAGTATGTAAAATTCAGATTTTTGTTTTTAGTTCCGGTAAAACTGTTTTCCAAACCACACCCAATATGCCCACCTATATTTTGGCCTTTATCATTTCGGATTACACATATAAAGAAGGCGAATTTAATGGTTTGAAACAACGTTTATATTCACGTCCTGGTTCGGAAAATGAACAAGAATTCGGATTGGTAGCGGGTATGTTGATTACACAACGTTTGGGTGAATATTTCGGCGTTGATTTTATGTTGCCAAAATTGGATCAAGCTGCCATACCTGATAAGGGTGGTGCTATGGAAAATTTCGGTTTGGCTACATATGGTGAACATATCTTGTTGTATAACCCGGAGATTTCAACGGTTAATACTCAAACGAATGTGGCCAATATTATCGCTCATGAACTTGCCCATCAATGGTTTGGTGATTATGTGACAATTCAATGGTGGACTTATTTGTGGTTGAAGGAAGGATTTGCCGCTTTGTTCTCGTACAAGGCTGCCGATGAGGTATGTAGAATAATAGTCCGGAATTTTTTTTTTTTGTAAAAAAATCTATACCCCTGGTGAGGTCCTGAAAAAATATTTGTTTGAAAAAATCTGGATCTCAGTCACTAGATTAAAAAATCCACCACTCTTTTTGACTTTGAAAAAATTATTCAAAAAATCCACATCTACTTTTGACCTTGAAAATTACTTTCAAAAATCTACGCGGCTTTTGGACCATGTCAAAAAATTGTTTAAAAAATACCCGCCTCTTTTAGACCTTGAAAAAATTGTTTAAAAAAATCCATAAAACATTTTTTTTTACTTCCTTGTCGGTGTGCTTGATTTTTATTTTTCCTTCTACTCTATTTTTGTAGGCCTTCCCAGAATGGGGTATTTGGCAGCAATTCCACACTGCCGAATATCAATCGGCTTTGGTTAGTCAAGGTGTCGACAATCCCCGACCAATGTCGGCTTATGTCCAAACGCCAGCCGAAATTTCGAGCCTCTATGACGATGTGTCCTATGCTAAGGCTGGTTCCGTATTGAGCATGTGGAATCATGCTTTAACCGATCCCGTTTTCAAACGAGGTCTTCACAACTATTTGGATGCCAAGTAAGTAGTCCCACAAGGGGACACCAAAGATCCGTTCAACTTCTTACCTCTACAAATCAATTTTCCCATCCTTTTCAGCCAATATACCTCCGCTGTGGAGAGTGCTCTTTTCGATGCTATTCAAATTGCCGCCAAAGAGGAGAATTACGCCATACCCGCCACCATTGCCGATATGATGGGTTCATGGACCCAACAAGGTGGCTATCCTCTACTCACCGTTAAACGTAATTACGAAGACGGATCCTTCACCGTTAGCCAAGAGGCATTCTACAATAATGAAAATACCAAATCCGATAAATTGTGGTACATTCCCATTAATTACGCCAGCCAATCGAAATCCGATTTCCGTAATACCGAAGCCAGTGATTATCTTCTCAAGGTACCCAGCATTAAAGTGGATGCCAAATTGGGCAAAGATGAATGGTTGATTTTGAATAAACAATCCACCGGTTTCTATCGCATCAATTATGACGAACAAAATTGGAAGATGATTGTCCAAGGTCTCATCGATAGCCCTTACCGTGTTCATTCTCGCAATCGTGCCCAGCTCATTCACGATGCATATCGTTTCAGTATCTCCAATCGCTTGTCACACTCTATTCTCTTGGACATGTTAACCTATTTGTCCAATGAAGAGGAATATGCTCCATGGGCCACATCCCGTGCTATCTTTGATACCTTCAATCGTTTCTTCATCGATGATAAGGAATATTCGAATTTCAAACAGTATTTGGCCTACATTATCGAACCTGTCTATGAGAAGTTCGGCATACATGAAGATTCTGGTGAACAACATTATCACAAAATTACCCGCAACATTGTTATCCACCTTGCTAATATGGCTGGTGTCAAAAACGCCTTTGACGATGTCTATGGCAAATTCAAAACTGAATTGCAGGGTGGTGCGACCATTGAACCAAATCTTCAGTCCCAATTCTATTGTATCAGCCTTAAAGATGGCTCCGCCCAAGAATTTGATTATGTTTTCAACAAACTAATGACTATCAATGATCAAGCTTTGCGCAACTCCTTTATCTCCTCGTTGGGATGTACCGAACGCAAGGAACACCTGCAGAAATTCTTCAGCAGCTCCATTGACACCAGCAACTCACTGCGCGGTCCAGAACGTTTAAATATTCTTAGTGCTGCCTACAGCCGTAGCCAAGCCGGTCTCGATGCTGCCATTGAATTTTTACAAACCAACTATCAGGCCTATGATGGTTTGGCCATAAACAGTAACAAACCTGTGGATACTGCCATACGTGGCATGTCCAGCTATGTGGTGAATAGTGATCAGGAAGCTAAGCTCTTGGAATTGGTCACCGCCCTTAAGTATAGCATATATGTGAATAGTGATTTGGAGACTGTTGTTAAGTCCAGAATCCAGGATAATTTTAATTGGTTGAAAACAAATCGTGGACCGATTATGACATGGATGAGCTCCTTCCGCACCAGTGGTAGTGCTAGTTTGAGCTTGTCTGTGGTCTCAATGGCTACCGCCTTGTTGATGGTTTTATTTAGATTGAATTAAATGAAATTAGGAAAAAGTGTGTAGTTGTTGTAATATCCTGAAAAAATAAAGTTGTTTTGTATGTTGTTGTTTTTAAAATCAAGTTGAAGTCTTTAGAAAAATTTTATTCCGCCACATAGGTGAGTCCAACTACTTGCAAAAAAATTGTTTAAAAGCTCCACGCCTAAAGCTCAGCAACTATGGTATGGTTAAAATATTAGGTTGTGCAAAATTTTGTTCAAATCTGATATTCCGTTCGCATCATTATACTTACTAACTTAACTGCCTTGTGGCAGACATTCATTCCATAAGCCGAGCTTAAAAAAAATGTCCAGGCGCGTCTGTCTTTTGCGCAGTTTTTCCAATTTGAAAGACCATATTCAGTAATGTTTTCTTCCAATTGGTCTTTCCATCATATTCTTGGCCTTCCCCTTCTGCGTGAACCATCAGCTGCTTCGCTTTTATATGCCTTCTTGGCTGGGGCATCTGCATCCATTCTCAAAACATGAACTAGCCATGAACTAGTCGCTGCAGCTCAATACGTCTAACGATGTCGATGTCCGAGAATAGCTGGTACAACTCATGGTTCATTCGACGGCGATATTCACCGCCAACGCAGATCGGTCCATAGATCTTTCGGAGAATTTTTCTGTCAAACACGAGCTGCCTCATCTGCTTGCGCAAGGGTAGCTTCAGATCCATATAACAGCACGGGTAGTATCAGCGTCTTGTACAGTGTGAGTTTGGTCTGGCGGCAGGTGGCCTTACTTTTGAGTTGTTTGCTCTGATCTGTTGACCATCACTATCCTTCTCCTTCTTCTATCCTTCTCAAACTGATGTCATTCGTTTTGTTTATGTCGGTACCAGGTATATAAAATCTTTGACTACCTCGAAGCTTTAGTTCTCAAGTTCCACAGTTTGCCCGAGTCTTCTGGACTTCTTGCGCGTTGATACCATCAGCATGGTCTTCTCGCCGTTTACTGCCAGACCCACTTTGGCAGATTCCTTTTCAATATGTTCAAAGGTAGCTGTTACCGCTCTCAGTGTTCGACCCATTATGCCGATGTCATCGGCTTAGGTGAGTGACATGTGTTGATTGATGTATAGAGTGCAACTTCTGTTCACTTTTGCCTCTCGTATGACCTTTTCCAGCAGGATGTTAAAAAGGTCACACGACAAACTATCACCTTGTCTGAATCCTCATTCGGTATTAAAGAGCTCCGAGAGGTCCTTTCAGACTTTAAATGTTGATCTTTTGCCGGTTAAAGTTATCCTGCATAGCCGAATTTTGCAGGAATGCTAAACGCAAATAATTTTCAGCAAAATGTTGACAATTTTGTGTAAGAAGTACCAAAAGGAGTGAACCGATGGGCCCAATTTTCATATTCGATCTAGGTAAAAATCTTACAATAAGCGAAGATTTGATGAAATTTGAATATTTCGTAAGGTTTAAAAATTTTGAGAATGTTGACCCTTAGGGGGGAAACTACCACAAGAAGTGGACCGATATGTACCATATTCCAACATTAGGCATGTTTGCTTATAGTATTAGTTTGGTGTAAATGGTATGTTCTGTTCACATGGTGCTATAAAATTAATTTTCAGCACAACTATGACAATTTTGAGGGTGCGGTTCCAAACGGAGAAAACCATTTTTCCTCATCTTGAAATTTGATTTAAGTTTATAATATTGAAAATGTTGACCCTATGTGTCTAAGGTACCAAAAAGAGTGAACCAACATGTCCCATCATCGGACTTGATTTAGGCTTGGTGAATATGTATAAGGTTCTGCAAAAATTTGTTTCAAATTGAGTAGGTCGTTCTCAGGATATTCTAAAATGTTGTAAAATTTTGACCATTTTGGGGATATTCCCCATCCTAGAACTTTAATTTTGGAAGAAATATTAAGATGGACAAAGGTCGAGAATTATCGAGCTGACCAGCCAGCCAGATAGACAACTATAACCCATATTAAGATACCGATTTTTTGTAATTTTTTGATAATTAAATTTTCTCTTAAAAACCCCACTATGTAGTATACAATTAACATGACATAAATTAGAAATTTTGATTGTCTACCCCTTGAGGGTCTACCCGAACATTACAACGCTCTTAATTGTTTTACAATAAGTCAGTTTAATCTCTGCGTATAGTTGAATATGTGTATGTGCACGGGATTATTTAAATCTTCATTACAGGTAATTGGGTTTTTACAATTGGTTCATATATTACTGAATGCGACTTTCTCCGAAATAGACAATCCACACTTCAAATAATAAAAAAAAAATTTTTACTCATTTCGCCATCAGTGATGGCAAATATAATATTTAGTAATAAAAACAAGAACCGAAATGTGAATTGAAATTGAAATTTTTTAATTTCATAATCTTCACCATATACATTTCATGTTTCGATTTGTAACACAACAATATGTGAATTCGGATAGAAAACTTATCAAAAGTGTAAAATAAACCAAATTTTTCCAAAAAGGCATTGCACATTATATGATGCAGGATTGCATTTTTGTTAGAATTCACCTATTTGGATCACCCATGACCTACAAATGAAGTCTACAGGTTGGCGAATTCATGCCGTAGTATTATTTCCTGTCAACTTTTTAATCGCGAAATACCAACCAGAATAGGATAAAAATTAATAACACGCCTGTCAACTTCGATCATTTCTCCTATTTTATCGACATTTTCGACGACCGGCCGACCTGTGCTAGGTACATCTTTAACATCAAATATTTCTGAACGGAATCTACGAAAGCAAAATTACCCATAATTGGCGGTTACAGTATCGGAACCATAAACACTGTTCACAATTTTAGCCGCTTTCAAAACACAAAAAAAAACTGTAAAGTGTACCGAATTTTCTCTTTTTTCACTTCTATTTTTAACATCCTGTAACTCACAACTGAATGCACAAAACAAAAAACAGCAAAATATTTTTTTATATTTATTCCCTATCTCCCCACTTGAATTAATTTAGTATATACGAAAACAGACGTACACACGGGCGATGGTGTTATATGATATGTTTTCTGTTGCAAAACAATTTTTATACCCTACACAACTATGTTGTCAGGGTAAAGTAGTTTTGTGCAGCCCCAAAAGTTTGTAACACCGCGAAATATTGGTACTAGACCCACCTTTAAGTAGACTAGCTCAGTCGATCTAAACATGTGTGTCCGTCCGTCTGTCCATTATAATTTGTAAACACGATACAGGCCACAGTTATTGACCAATCTTCACGACATTTTCCATGTAGGATGGATTCTGGCCAATGAAGACCCCTATTGTTTTTGGGAAAGATCGGTTAATATTTAGGGGATGAAATGGACCAAATACTATATTTTTTCGTTTTTTTTTTCTGGTCGCTCCAGAGGCGGTAATAATGGCCCGATCTTCGTGAAATTTTGCATGGAGAAGGGGATCGGGCCAAAGAATAAGAATGCCTGTTTTGATAAAGATCGGTCAATATTTAGCGGGTCAAATGGACCCTGACTTTTGTGTGAAAAATTGCATTTTTGTGGTACAGGGTATTATTGCTTTGTGCATATGTTTGTAACCTGCAAAAATAATCGAGATTGACCCATGGTTCCTTTTTAGAATATGCATAGAATCACTTTCTGAATCGATTTATGCATGCCCGTCTATCCGTCCGTCCATGTTAAATTGTAAACAAAGTACAGGTCGCACATTTGATTGGAATTGGATGAAATTTAGCACAGCTCATTTATTTGGCCCAAGGACGAACCCTATTGAAATTGGGAAAAATCGGTTCAGATTTAGATATAGCTCCCATATATATTTTCGTCCGATTTAAGGTAAATGGTGCACAGAAGTTGCTATATATCTTTCGATTTGCACGAAATTTGACACAGCGTACTGAATTGAGTCTAGAATGATGAGTGGTGAGTTTCGGGAAAATCGGTTTCGATTTCTATATAGCTCCCATATATAGTTTCGTCCGATTTTGTGTAAATGGTGCACAAAAGCCCCTATATATCTTTCGATTTGAACGAAATTTGGCATGACGTACTGAATTGAGCCTAGAGTGACGTCTGCCAAGTTTCGTGAAAATCGGTCCAGATTTAGATATAGCTCCCGTATAGATTATCGATTGATTGTTTTAAGGATAATGAACCCATGTTCCTACTGAATTGGTGGTAATTTGATATTTTGGATTCAGATTGTGTTCATGTCAAAAATAATCCAAATCGGTCCACTTTTCATTTTTTATGCTATAATTTGATACTTTTGATTCTGAATGGGCAATATTAGTCCATATAAAAGTACCCCCAAATTTTGACATGTTTATGATAAAAAAAATGCCATCAATAAATAGTAGATTTTTTACAAGCCCGCCCGTTTATGCCGTCCACGTGTGTCTACTAAAAAGTCCAAAAATGGAACCTCCTAAACAAAGTGTCAACATTTTGAAAATGTGTTACTACAATATCAAGCGAATGGAATATCCGATTTGATACAAACTATGTACTTCGTAATATTACTTCCAAACTTAAATAAAGTTCGTAAATGGGGAATATCGGTCGCCTCCTTGTGGTACCTCCCACACGAAATGGTCAAAACGCGCCTAAAAATAAATTTTGTAATATCATGCGAAGGGACTATCCGATTTTGACCAAACTTTGCACAACCTAATATTTTACCAAATCTGTATATTGTTGGAAGGTGGTACTTATCGACGCATTCCTTCTAGAATCTCCCCCACAAAAGTCAACATCTAAATAAAATATATATAAAATGTTAAGCGAATGGATTGTTCAATTTGACCCAAACTTTACACATCGTAATATTTTTACCATTCCTAAATCAAGTCTGAAGATCGGACCCATTAGTCCACTTCTTCTGGTACCTTACCCACAAAGTATCAACATTTTGAAAACGTTAACATTTCAAATGTACCCGATTTTATTCGTTGTATGCGTATAGTGGTATTTTTACAATACGCAGATCCTGGCGGAAAATGGCAACCAGCCGTCCACTTCTTC